AATAAGTGGAACAACAAATCGATGTTTCTCCCCCTCTCTCTTCCTTCTTATCTAAAAAAAAAAAAAAAAAAATCCATTTAAAAACTTATTAATAAAAAAAGAATATTTTTTTCCAAATAATAACAAAAACACTACAGTACAGACCTGAGTAGTAATATGGGAACCAAATAATTTATACAAATTTTAATTTTTTCCTCTCGTTCCTCAAATATTTATTGAGCACCTATCACATATCAGGAAGTGTGCCAGCCAATAGAGGTAAAGATGAACAAGGCTTAATCTCCAGCCCCAGATCATTCACAATTTGTAAGACATATGGGAATATAAATGAATATGTTGTTAATCAGATCATTTGTGAATTGTATAAATGGAAAATAATGAAATAACAGGATTTTTTTTAGAAGACGAGTCTAAAAAGTAACATTTGAAAGTCATTCTGAATTTCTCTTAAGTATATCTCTCAAAATTTTTAGTACGAATACTGTGTGTGTTAGTTTTAATTTACCTTGAAAAGTTCATGTCTTTCTAAAAGTTGATTTATTTTACAGATCATATCCAGTAACTTTTTATTTAAAAATATTATTCTGGTGCTTCTGGTGTCTGCCTCTTCTTGATAATGACATCAGGAAGTATTTTGAATAACTAGTCCAGACCTGTTAACCTTTAGAAAATAGCATGCCTCCTTTTACTGTAGAAATCTTGTTTTTTAGCTCTTGCTTATAAATAGAATATTATTTTATTGAATTATTATATTGATGTCACTTGCGAGAATATTTCCATGGATTAAATTCTACTTAGTGAATTTTCCATTTTTTTTAGAAGCTGGCTTTTACTGATAGCAATGAAATTCAGTGCCAGTAATACCAAAAATAAACCACATTTGAGGAAGAATTATCCAAGTAGGTTATAAATTAGGCAAAATGAAGAAAATGTTCTTCTCTAGATTTACCATTAGACATGCTTGACTTATTTAGTGAAAAGGTTTGGGTTTTCAAGGCTATGGAAAGAAAACCAGGTAGTTCAGAATACAGAGACTTAACTGTAACCCATCAAATATGTTAAATCTTAAAACTTCTGGAGCAACTCCAGTTTATATTAGACTCCTTGGGGAAGTAAAGGGTGTCAATACCACCATTTTATTTCAAAACAAAACCTTGCTCAGAATAGTGGGGATGGATGGGGCAGGGCATTCAAAAGAAAATTAGATCAAGTTTATAATAACTATTTTAATATACTATAGAAGTATAATTTATATAAGAATAATGAAACAGCCAAGGCATTTCAGATTATATATTTTTGTAACCTTTTAAGAAAAGGTAATAGAATGATGGCATGGGTCTGCTGTGAGTTCTGTTGTGTTAATTTTTCTGCTGATTCTCTCAGTGCCTGGTTATTATGTAACGTCACAGAGAGTAAGCTGTGACTTGGATTGACATATCTTTTTCATCTATTTAGCAAATCTTTTTTAGTCCCCTGTGTGCCAGACAGGCACTCTTCTAGATAGACACTAGAAAACAATGATGAGTAAAACAAATTTCGTGCCTTCATAGAATATACAATCTAAAGAAGGAATCAAGTAAAAGAACAATAATAAATAAGCATTCCAGTTGCTTTCATTATTATTACTATTGTTATTATAGTGGTGGGAGGAGTAGCAGTGCATCTGGAGGGCCTGGCTGCGAGAGGGGCAGGCGGTGACCTCGCCTCCCGCTGCAGTGGCCGTGCCCTCTGTCTTAGCCACACTGGCCTGCGCGGTGTTCCTCGAGCACCTATATCTGTGTGAGAGAGATAAAAACACATCTTCAAAGAAGAAACATATGACATCAATTTTTTCCAAGTGGTTTTTATGGTTTTTAATGCACTTGAAATAGATCGAATTTTTAAACAAATGTATGATTCTGTTGTTAAAGCAACCATCAAATAATGATGTGTGTCTCTTAAAAAAGAATATTAAAAACGTTAAGCCCAGCAACACTACCCTGCTGGAAGGGGGCTGTCTAAACTGAGCCAATAATCCAGAAGTCAGCAGGAACCACTTATCAGCGACAAATGCCGTATCTCAAAAGGTGTACCAGAATCGTGTTCATATCCACAAAACAAGTTCCTTAGGATGAAACCCCAGAGCTAATTTACTCCAATATTAGACAAAATTCTAACAAGTTAGTTATTGTTAATATGGCTTATCAGTCTCTGGAATAATAAAAGTAACAAGTAGAGGAATAGATAGGTTATTAGAGATAATCTCAGTGACTGTGGCAAAAAGAGAAAATGGTATTTGAGGAAGGAAAAACTTTATATTTACATATATTTTTAAAATATGCATATATATAAATATATACACAAATATAACTAAAACTACTCAGAGCCCTAGCACTCTAGAGTTATTTTGCCTCAACCACTCTACAGCTCCTGAAAGTATTGCCACATAACTGCACAGGGCACTAATCAAGGTTCCTGACTGAGATCCAGACATTTAAAAATGATTCAGTTCTGTTCAGTATTCTCAGTTGTGAAAGGCAATGGAGTGTCTAATACATTATAGAAGCATTTCTTTGAGAAATGATTAAAGTTTTAATAGTCCTGCAAATGGGGTACTTCCAATGTTATTTTAATAAAGCATTGCTTAAAGATGCCAGATAAATGCATTTTTCTAGGTTGCAAGCTTTAGAGTTAAAACTACGTATTCTAACAAAAGATGAAACTCTTTGACTACTGCAAGCAGTTATGTTTACTGATGCTGCTGATTTAAAAACAGAAAAAGGACCCTCCTGGAGATGCTGGGGCATGAACTCAGGGCCTCATACATACAAAGCAAGGGCTCTACCACTGAGCTACATAAAACATATTTATATAACACATAGACACACACAACTGTGTGCGTTTAGCCAGAGAGAAAGGGAGGTGGGAACTAGTTAAAGATGGGCAAAGGAGAGGAAACTGGGGACCGATAGAGACTTTGCTTGGGGTGACAGGTGCACAATGCAGTGTGCAGATGATGATTTATTGAGTTGTACACTTAAAACCTGTATGGTTTTGTGAGCCAACAGTCACCCCAATAAATTTAATTAAAAAAAAAAAAAAAGATCAGTAATAAGACTAATTAATCAGCCTTTAATTTTTTTATTTTATTTTTTACTTGCATGTCACTAAAAACATTTTGGAAAACTACCTTACCTCTTGCGTATTTTTTACTTTATATCTAATTTTTTTTTCTTGTGAATTTATTAAATAACTACAAAGAGTGTAAAATTCTGATGTCTTGTAAATGTTGACATTTTAAAATAAGAGTGTCTATTTTACTCTCTTCAGTGTATCCAACAGACTCTAAATGACATATGTATTTGATATTCAACATCCATCCTTTTAAAAAAACATATGAATAAACTCTTATTCAACAGCTGGAAAAAAATAGAAACGGAAAAATATCTGTCTGGTGCTTACTTCTTACATGCAAATAAAAGGACTCAGTCTCAAGAGAGTGACGAGTGACAGGCTGCAAACTGAAGATAAAAGGGCAGTGCGCGCACTGTGGGAAGCATTGCGGGGTCAGTGGCCTGCTACTTTAGGCACTGCAAAAATTTTGGCTCAAATCCAGCCTTACACTCTGTAATTAGAAACAAATTGCTACTTTTAGTCTCCAGCCGAGCCACATATGCTTGTGGTCTGTTTTATGAGGTTCCTTGCAATTTGTACTGTGATCTCTCATATAAGACACGATGGTTGTAGGTATAGACCTGTTGATTCTAACACAAGCAATAGAGAAAGGAAAGGTTGACAGTAACTTTCAACTAGCTAGTCTTATTTTTTTAAGGGGTATCTTTAGACTATTACATACAAGGCATTTCCATAAAAATAAAAATACCCAAATAATAAATATATTTTAAAGTATAAAATATGACAGACATTGATTCTTTTGTGAGGGTCAGTGGGATCCCAGGAAGACCACCCAGGGTCTTCAGAGGGCTCGTGAGCTGCTGAAACTGTGTGCATATCAATTTTTCCAGGGAAAGGGTCCAGAGCTTTCACTGCATTTTTAAAGTGTCTATGACACTGCTCGCCAAAAAATTTTCTTAAAAACTTTAAAAACCACTGTTTTCATGTAAAATGCAAGTATAAATAAAAGTTCAGCATGTTTCCCGTCCACTTTTAAAGACAATAGAGTCCACATATCTCAATACTTCTCTTTCTCCAACTCATCTTCTAGTTAAATATTATCCAGATGGCCTAGGTTTTAAGTTCATTTTAACACAATGGATAAATTACAGGCTTTGGAAACAGACTTCTTGGGTGAAAATCCTGACTCAGCCACTAACTAGCTAGGTGAGCTCAGTTAAATTAAACTCTCAGAGCCTCAGTTTTTTTACCTGAAAGATGGGATCAATCCTAGTACTTGCCTCCGAGGGATGAAGTGAGCGTTGGGAGATCATGCAAGTGAAGTGCTTGGAACAGTTCCAGATCCTCACCCTGACTTTCTGTATTTCAGCAGCATTACTATTGATGAGCTTTAATGAGTCACTAACAAAACCCTTAATTTGGAATATATTTTATAATATAAATAACCAGCTAGTGGTCTTTTCATTACAGGAAAAATTATATCACGTTTTAGACTCGCGTTTATCAATCATGATCAGTATTCAAACCTTAGACACCTATACTGTGATGCTTCATGTGTGAATTCATTGTTCGGCTAAAAATTTTACATGTGAGCATTTTCACATTGTGATGTTTTTTATTTGTTTTTAACCCTGTGACTTAAAAAAACAAACAAATCTAAGCTGTTGATTAAATCACAATAAACCCAGCAAAACATCACCCCAGGTTTTAGGCCACAGTATAAAATTGAAAAAGTATTTGAATAATCATAAATAAATGTATCGGGTTTGTATACCAAGGAAATAGAAAATACATATGGTTTGATGGGCTGTTTCTTTTGCTTGCAGGAATAAAAACTGTAAGAAAATTAACAAATGTGTTTGAAATGTTGCTCTTCTTCTCCACAGCTCTTGTAGTGAGATTTCTGACCAAGCGGTTCATCTGGGAGTACGATCCCACCCTTGGTAGGTCAAACTTCCTTTCCTCCTATGCTCCAAAGTTTATGACCCCAAAGAGAGAATGACATTTTCTGTTGCAACATTTTTAAGTACCTTGCCCCTATGTCGGAAGTGCTGTATTGAATCATGCAAAAATTCCTCCGAGAAGGCAGGCGTGTGCTGCATGCTGTGTGCGCTCAGAGCGCTGCGGGACTTTAATGCCTAGATGGAGAAATCCGGTGCAAGTGATGCTCTTCCATTAAGAGCGTCGCTCCATGGTGGAGAGGCCGCAGCGGGCATGGCTGCTTCGAGGTGGGGTAGAATGGGATGCTGAGGAGGGGGTCACCGTAAAAGAAAACATGAATACTGATTTGGGGAAAACGAATAAATAAATTGTGTTCCTTCCCCTCCTATCTCCAATGAATCTGCTTTAAGCCTATTTAAAAAATACAAAAGCAGCAGCAACAATTGATATATGTATCTCGAAAATAGCAATAATGTTGATGTATGAAGTGGTTATCACATGTATTTTTCATAGTCCAAGACAGAGTCTTTCTTTTAAGTATATTTAGTTATCTTCAAAATAATGCTAAAAATCCAGAGACTCTAAGTTAAGCTTCAGGTCTTACTCTGAATGAAGCCTTTGAGTTTTTGGTAGTTATGCTTCAGGACCCCAGTTGGTCTCCTAAAGGCGACAACTTTGAAATCCAGAGGAAGAGGGAAAGACACACATTATCTCACTGCCGGGCCCGGTGGCCCAGGCCCACTGGCCTTACCAGGTGGTGAAATGGGCAGAGGTGATTCCTGGGTGCTTTTGTTTTGGA